GGCCTGAAATTTTTAAGTGCAAAAGACCAACTGCTTCTATAACAAAAGATTTTCTTACAGAACTGTTTGGACGTTTTGGAGTACCAGAAAAAATTGTCACCGACAATGGAACTCAATTCACAGGAAGTGAATTTAAGATGTTTTGTAAGACTCAGGGAATTGACCACATCACGACTTCACCGTACCATCCTAGGTCAAATGGACAGGCTGAACGGTTTGTTGATACATTCAAGAGAGCCCTTAAAAAAACAAATGGTACTAATACAGATGATGGTAATATACAGCAGTTTTTAAGTATATACAGAATAACACCAAATCCAAACACAATATCAGGGATGCCTCCAGCTGAACTGATTTTTGCTAGAAAAATTAGATCTGTATTCAATAGGCTGCTGCCAGAAAGAAAAAAGAGTTACCAGAACAAAACGCATCAGGAAAATATGAAATATCTCAGGCCAGGAGATAAAGTTTTTTTTTAAAATTACAAAAATGGGAAGGAATTTTGGCAAGATGGAGTGGTAACTCAAAGAATTGGTAAGATGTTATACATGATAAGAAGTAAAAAATGGACACACAAAAGACATTTGAACCAATTAAGGAAAAGAATCATTGAAGAAATAAGTAAAGAAAATGAAGAACCAATGGAGGTATTATATGATTTATTCGATATACCAACTTCACCATTGCCTGAAACAGTTGTCCAAAGAAGGACAAACAAAAGAAAAAGAACTAGGGTGGAACGTTTAAATCCAGATCCCAAAAGGAAAAGATATTAATTCCTCCGGAATTAATCTCAAGGGGGAGATGTTGTGTCGGAAACCTACCACCCCTCTTGAAGATGAACTTGTCTGTGAACAAAGACTTTAAATAGTGGCATGTCTGTTGACATGGGGAAGACAGATAGAGAAGTTCTTAGCTGAGCTTGTTATTGACGATACTCAGGCGATTTCTGTACCTTTTTACCAACCTATTAACAGCCTTTTTATTGTTATGTGTTATTTGGCGTTTGTCTCTACTAACCCCAAATCAACATCATAACAATTTATCAAAATTACACAAAAATATCTTGAAATACTTAAGAGTAAATTTATTCAATAAGATTGCCATTGGCTTCAACCATGATCTCCAGGCAACTTCAGAATCTTCTGCAACTCTTCTGGACAGTCTCATTGTTTAAGTTGGTGAATGCTGCCATAATCCTTGCCTTCAAGTCCATCTTTGGTATTAAAAGGAGTTTTGCTGGTCTCTCACCCAACTGCACCCCACACATAATAATCAAGGGGGTTGCAGTCTGGGAAGTTAGGTGGCTCAATATAAGAAGTGATGTGGTTGCAGAAATTGTCTTACAGCCATGACTGAGTCCTGCTTGTATGACATGGTGCAGAGTCCTGTTGCATAGGGTCTACCAGTAACCACCCTCCCGATCCAAGGCAGCACTACCTCCCCAAGGCCCTTGATGTAGGCCTCTGAGGTCCTCACCAACAAATTTGTGAGTTCATTTCTTATCAGAACAATCAGAGTGAATTTTTTGAGCTGCCTTACCTTCATAATCACCATTAGACTCGTCCAACTCTTTCCAAATCCTCTGCATTGTCCTCAGATTGACATCAAAACACCCTGAAATGTTCATATTGGAGCATCTGGTACAAATGCCAAGCAGTACAGTATGCTGTTTCCAAATTTCTGGCTGAGTGAATTGTGTCATGGCGCTCTTTTTCTCACAGATGGTGCCCAACTGACCCTTCTATACTGTGCAGTTAACAAAATCAAAAACAAACGACATGCATGCGTGAAATTAAAAATATAAAATGGCGACAATTTATACATTGCATCTTGTATATATTTTTCCATCAATGAAATATTTAGTCTGAAGAAATCCTTTTAAAGGATGAAATGTGTAACATTTGGTGTTTTTCCATTTATGTCATTCAATTAAGGTCAGGTTAAAGGTAAAAGAAACAGAAGAATATACACAGACTAACCCTAACCCCCTACCCTAGTGAGTAGCTTGAGTAAATGGATGGTAGAATAAGGTTTACAAGAGATGACAAAAAATTTATTAAGAGCTACAAAGGATAGGAAATTGTGGAGAGCCATGATCGCCAAGGGACATGAAACATAAAAAAAAGAAGAAAAATTAACACACACACACTCTCTCTCTCTCTCTCTATATATATATATATATATATATATATATATATACACACATACATGCATCTATGTTAAAACTGCTTAGTTTGGATGCTGTTGTTGCTTAATGAAGAAAATATTTTCCAATTTATTTTCCACCCCCAAACTAAATCAACCACTTGTTTTAAGTGTGTGTGTGTGTGTGTGTAGGAGATCTAATGATTCCTTTGGTGAAGTGCCAATGGGTTTAAAAAATGGAATTTCTAAATGTTAATGAATCAGCTGCAGAAAAAAATAAAATAATAAAATAAACAAGGGGTCTATAAAATGATAAAATCCAAAAGGAAGTGAAGAAATTAACCTTGAAATTGAAAAAAAAAAAAAATTCTATAAAAAATTTTTTGTTTTGTTTTATTTTTGTTAACTTTTATTGCTGAGAGGAGCTTTCTTTAGTTAGTACTGTTGATTTTTCCAAAAGACGTCTATTTTTTTAAGGTGTGATATATATGTGCGCGTGTGTCTTTCATTTGCTGTGAATTTAAAAATGAAATGAAAAAACATCATGAAAATAAACTAAAAGTAATTAATTGAATTTTGCACATTCAGAGATTTTTTAAAATTTTTTTTTGTTGCTGACTCTTTTAAAACTTGCAGAAATTCAAAGAAATTTGTTTTTGATTTCTAAAATAAAGCCCCATTTTCAGTGCATTTTGTCTCTGACTGTTAACCACTTCACTTGTTTTCTAAAAATAAACCAACTGCCAAACAAAAAAAAAAAAACTCATCAACAGATTATGTTTTTTTTCCCCCCAATTTTATCCAGGGTGAGTCCTCTAACTCACATTTTTTTTTCAAACAGAAAATGACTCATATAAAGTATGGAAGGCAAGGCCCAGAGGCAAGGAGAGGGAAGAAGAAGTTTACTGCCTGGAGTTGTCAGGAATCTGATGTGGCATAAAAATTCTGAATTTAAAGCCACATAAAGATGAGAACGCTCCTTGTTTGTGAAGGGATTTCATCACTCTGCCTAGAATGGGAGAAGAGACATAAGGCGAGCCCCAATTTTTTTAAAAGAATGCAAAGAATTTGCACAATGAAATTCTTCTCTGGCAAATTTCTTTTAATACATTTAAGTGGATAGAATTATTACTGATATGATAAACGTTTATTTTGGAATCCATGTTTCAGGGTTTGTTCTATTTTACAATTATGACCAGCTTGATAACTAATTTCTTTTGAAAATGTGAATATTTAAAAATTTTCATTCTAGCCTCAATACTTCCCTTGGTAGCAAGAAAGTAAATTCTCCTTGAGGCATTCCTTCTGGAGGGGGGAGGGGTTAATTATTACAGTCTTGGAAGAAACCCTTAAATCCAGTTCAACTTCTTTCCTATTTATGTCGTGTTTTACAAGCAACTTTTTAAAAAATATGCAGTAATAATATTCTATTCACAGATTTTGAAATGTAATTCATTATCAATAGATTTTTCTGTTTCTTCCTGGTGTTCTAGTACATTTGGCTGATCTGAGGAACTTACTCTGAGTCCCAGGAGATCTTTCCAGGCTTTACTTTTCCTTTGAGAGGGGCCCAAGGTTTTTACCTGGGTCATCTACAAAAAAAAAGAGGGCTTAAACAATTTCTGTCTCCAATTCCTATACACATGCTCTACCAACCCATTTTAATTTGATCTTATTTCACATTCCACTTGAGTGTGGATGCAGTTAAATAACTTTCATATCTGTCACTCTTTGGACATAGTCTTGAATTAGATTGTAGTACCTGTGCACAACAAATGCATATTTATAGAAAAATGTGTGACCTTCCTCTTGACTTAATAATTAGTAAGTTTCATGTTTTCTTTGGTTTAATTAACTCCTATTAAGCTAGGAAGCTGACAACTACTTAACCCAGTAGTGTATGCTGTCCCATTTTCTAGAGAGGAGGCTCCCCAAATCTGCCAGCCTTTAGATTATCATTAGGCACCAAGGTCGATTACGTGAAAAGAGATAAAAATTTTAAGGAAACTTAACAGAGTAATGAATTAATATCATCATCATCATCATTATTATTATTATTACTGAATATCTGGTCAAACCCTTCAGGAAGAGAAAGTCCCGCTGGCCTGAAGAAAAAGCATGCAACTTGCAATTTTTAGGCAATAATACAAAATCCAGAGAGTAACCCCAAACACACACATTTAATTAAGTTTGGAGCCACCCCTGAATTTTGAAGAATCACCTAAAAATTGAATGTTGCAGGCCTTTTCTTACTTTCTTTTATTTATAAATATATCAAAAACTTTTTTATATATATATATATATATATATATATATATATATATATATAAAACAGGAAGATTTTGCTGAACAGTTTTTGTTTTAGCTGGCCCACTTTCCAGCCAAAATCTGAGTAAAATGACCAAACATCAAAATTTTATTTGGAAGCTCCCACTCTTTCTTTCCACTCACACATACAATATATATATATATATATATATATATACACATAACCAAACTAATCCATTGGTCAATGGTTATTGTCTGACAATCAGTGTGAAACTCAGTAACAATTTGTATCTCAGTCCTTGAGTGCTGTTTTGTTTGTTTTTGTTTATATATATATATATATATATATATATATATATATATATATATATGAGAGAGAGATAAGTAATTGTTTGTTGCAAATGAAATGATGTCAACAGCATCCATTGCTGCAATTGTAGAAATGAAGAATTTCAAAATAAATGACCAATTTTGATTGATGGAAAGTTTCTTTGCCAAATAAATTCATATTTTTGATGTGACTTGTCTTTGAGGAGGAGGAGGAGGAAAATGGTAGTTTTCATTGTATCACTGTGAACGGATCTTCAACTCATGGGCAGTGGAAGTGTGATCAGGTTGAGGAACAGATGAGTCAGGAAGAGAAGACAGTTGAGTGGAGCAGCGATGGGTGGCGGGTGGGGGTAGAAGTAATTTGGGTCAGAGGTCATGTATGGGAGAGAGAAATAGATAGAATGAAATATTTCACCAGGTGAAGATTGAAGTGTCTGTGAATGAATTAAAGTGAAAGAAAAGGAATTAAAATGTCTGGGCAAATTGAATGAATGAAAGAGAATGATTGATAGAAGGAAATATGAGTAAAATTGAATGAATGAAAGAGATTGAGTGAGAAAGAGATATGAATGAAAAAAGAAAAGACTGTTAGATTATACGATTTCCAGAAAAATTATTTGAAAGCAAAAAAAATGCTAGGTTCAGTCTGAATATTGAATGAGTCAAAAAAATGGACAGCAAATGGAAGAGAAAGAGTAAGAATGAAAAAGTTACGAATGAAGTTACAAAAGAATAATATGTGTAGGAAAGAATGATTGAAGGGATCTATTTTTGAATTGCTGAACAAGTTTTAGGGGCTCAGATAACTGATTACATGTGGGGAGGTAAAATTTACAGATCAAAATCATAATAAGCAGAGTAGGTGACAGAAAAATGCTTTTGGGTGTGAGGGTGTAGAACGAGATGGCTAGGATTGGAAGAAACAAAAAGAGGAGAAAAAAAAAATAATCCTAATAACAATGAGGACTTGTCCAGTCTCTGAGTGGGGGTCAGATTTAGGGGGCATAGTAGCCCCCTTGACAACCACCTCCACTGCCACATTGGTGATAACTCAAGTTGTATTTATTGATTCCTCTTCAAGTCGTCTCCTCAACGCCACCACACAGTATCATCTGAAAAAGTGGTCAGGAGAGTTGGTTGGGGACGAGGGTTGTAGGATAAAGTGTTTTTAGGGTTGGGAAACAGGAGGGAGATGGCATTTGTTGGAACTAAATGTGTATGCAAAGGCATGCAGTGCTTGTATGGGTAGGGGTTAAGGAGAGAGAGAGAGAAAAATCTAGCCTTGATGAAATAGAAAAAGAGAAACACTTGCACAAACCAAAAGGGTTGATAGATAGTAAATAGAAAGAAAAAGAAGAATGGGGAGAGAGAGAGAGAACAGGTTGTGTAAGAGTTTGTGACCATAGATAAAGAGAGAGATGTATCCATCCAGAGAGAGAGAAAAAATGTGAAAAAAATAAGGTTTATACTGTGCAATAGATATTTATCGCTCTCAAAGTAATATAGATTTTATGAGTAAATGAAAAGATTGTGTACCAGATTTTAGAGTTTGGGAAAATCCTGCTTGCCAACCTTGAAAAATTTGGATTCTTTTGTTGATGAGAAAATGATTTGTTAAAAACCAATAAAAATTCTTTAAGGATTTCTTCTTTTTTCTACATCCTTTCTTTGGTTTCAAGCACATATTTATATCTAAATTGTCCAATGTCTAAGTACTTTCGACCATAGTTAACCATTATTATCAAAGACTTTATTCTTTCTTTTTTTTTTTTTTTTTTTGTTGTACTGTGTCATTGCTTTCTTCATTTTCAAGTATTGCATATGATTTTAATTTATTCATATATAAGTTCATATCCTTTTAAGGTATATTTAGGCAGCAAGTATTTATCCAAACAAATTTGATTAAAAAGAACTGCCAAGGCCTGTCTGTTTAATTTTGCATTGTATTTTTTTCAATTTTCGAATAAGGTGTAGAGTATTGTACTTGAAGTTGTGGATAAACTGGCCAAAGTTCATATTTTGTTGTTCAAGTACTTTTGACCATTGCAGTCAGTTTCAAGAAGTCAAGAACCCATGTGGTATCTGTGTGATACAATTTCTTTGACTACATCCTGGTATTCTTTGAAAATATATATATATATTGAAATATATATATATATTGTTATATATTTTTATATTCCGTGCTAACAGGAATATATACTTGAAAAACAAGGTGGATAGAATAAGTAAAAGTTTATTGTACAAACCCAGTACAATAAGAATAAAGGTAACAGTTATGCACAAGGTCATCGCAAGTTAATCCAGTAGTGAGTGCTACTATTGGAAGGTCGGTAGTTCTCGTGTAAGTCTGAGTCATACTCAACAGATCCCAACTAGTCTCTGTAGTCTGTTGACTTACAGATACTTATAGGCAGTTACTACCTATAGTGTAGTCACTCATAAGGGTGACAGGTTATTCCATTAGATCATTATATATATATATATATATATATATATATATAGGTAAAATGAAAACAAATGGAGTAAGATTCCACTGTACATAACATTTAAGTTAAAAGAGGGCTCAGTAAATAGTAGAGGTAAATATTATTTATTTTAGGATATTAAAACATCTTTTCAAATATCTGAAATTGCTGTAAGAGTTGAATAAATATTCAATCCATTTCAGAAACATTTTATTGAATAAATTAACATTCTAAACATTGAAAAATTGCAAAGGAATCAGAGTAGATAGGTTCACTTATTGCCCAGTTCACACTCCTCCTCAGTCTTTTGAACAGGAGTTTATTCCTTGCTTCCTGTTTAGGATTAGGTTTCCAGTTCCTTCTGAAGTCCTTTCATTCTCTTTCACTACCTGTAAACCCTTGCGTATTAATGGCATTATTGCCTTACTTCGGCTGAATTGATTTTTTTTTTTGAATTATCCATATACCAGAAAAGGATTGTAATTTTGAAATTCATAAAATATTTTTATCATCTTTTCCCAAGAATTTCTATCAAACTGTATCTGTGAATTGTAAATTTTTAAAAAAATTTAAGTTTGCCATAATAAACATGCACATAGTTTAGTTCGATCCAAGCTCAATCACAACAACATGATGAAGATAAAAGAATTGTCTGTGCATTTGAAACAAGGAATTATAAATGCTTGCAACTTAAGAATGGGTTTTCAGGTAACTGACTGTTCACCAGTTTTCTGTTCATAAATTGACTACAAACTATAAAGTATGTGATGAGAAGCCATCAAGAGATGAAAACTGTTGCAAATCTCTTCCTTTCTAAGTTTGCAAAAATTGTCCATGAGTGCAAAGAAGAACCATAAAGTTCTACCGAAAGATATTGTTTCTCATTTGTCAAATAATGCAGTAAATATTTCATGTGGTACAGTAAGCAGGCTGCTTAGCAAACATGTTCTTAGTAATTACAGTCCGAGAAAAATACCTTTGTTAAAAAAAATATCATTGTTGCCAAAAAACTTGAATGGAATTTGAATGTGCTTGCTTAGAAAATAAAGTTTGTATTCATTCAAGAAAATGTACTAGAATTAGAGTGAATGAAATAAATTTGTAGTAGATTAGTTACTCATTATAGAAAACGTTTACTTAAAGTTCATGATCAGAAAATCTGTGCTATTAATAATTATTAACTGAAGTGTACGAGTAATCTTGTTCTTGCTGATTTTGTACCTTCTATGTTTATATATGTGATTGTATTGAACAACAATTTTCTGAAAATGATTATAACTATTTTTAAAACACCTAAAGTCAAATTCTAAATCTAACATAAACATATTTGAAATTTAATTTAAATTGATTATTTTATCTTTTTTTGTATCTGCCTACCTGTCTCTGACTCTTTGCATCTGCCTATCCGTCTCTGACTCTTTGCATCTGCCTACCCGTCTCTGACTCTTTGCATCTGCCTACCCGTTTTTGAATCTTTGCACCTGCCTCCCCGTCTCTAAATTGTCATATCTGCTGCCTCGTCTCTGACTCTTTGCATCTTCCTACCTGTCTCTAAATCTTTGCATCTGCCTCCCCATATCTGAATCTTCACATCTATCTACCCGTCTCTAGATCTTAGCATCTGCCTACCCATCTCGAAATCTTTGCATCTGCCTCTCCGTATCTGAATCTTTGCATCTGCCTACCCGTCTCAAAATCTTTGCATCTGCCACCCTATATCTGACTCTTCACATTTGCCTACCCATCTCCAACTTCCACCCCACTATTCATCTCCAATTGTTTTGTGTATTCCTATCAATCTGTTAATCTCATACAGACCATTTCTCCGACTGCTCAAAGCTGTCTCTCTCTATCTCTTTCGAACTGTTGGTATATAACTATCTACCCTAAATTATTGGTATCTATCTATCCTTCTATCTTGGTATCTATCTGCATCCCCCTCCATGCACCCAATCAGTAAACATCTCCCTATCTGTTCCTCCCTTCCACTCTGTTGGTATCTGTTAGTTTGTTCATATTTATCTCTCTGCACAGCATTTATTCTAACGCCCCCCCGAGTTTACAGATCTAACGAACAATAGTTTTGGCATATTAACAAAAAAGTTTACATATGGAAGATTTATGCATGGTAAGTATAACCTATTGATGCCTATATATATATATATATATATATATATATATATATATATATATATATATATATATATATATATATATATATATGTGTGTGTGTGTGTGTTTGTGTATTATACAATCACAATTTTATATATATATGTGACACCATAACCTATATGCACCTCATTTTTGGGGAAAAACATGGATTCAAATATTTCAATATATTATATTTTTATATATATATTTTATATATATATATATATATATATATATATATATATATACACAAGAATGAAGTATATGCAGTAAAAAATTCAAAGAAGTTCTATTATTTAGGTATTTCCAAGATTGGTTAAAACATGAGCAAATGTGAAAAAATGCCCCCAAAATTAAAAATAGTTTGGATCAAAATCTTTATTATTAATAAGAGGAAAAACCAAAGGATTTTTTGATTTAATTCTTTTTAGAATCTTTCTTTTTGGGGTTAAAAACTTAATTTTTCTTACATCAAAGATCATTAATTAGCATGGGAAATTTTAGCGTCTTTTTGCAGTGAAAAAAAAAAACATTGATTAGGAAATTCTGGCAAAAATCAGATAACTGTCAGATTTTAATGAATATTTCAGGACTTATTTACAAATGAATAAAATTATTTTTGAAAAGTTAATTTTTAGAAAATCTTGGTAAAAATATATTTTTTACATTTGCTACTCCCAACACACTTATTTAATTTTCCTTTTTGTAGAACTTAGTGTTTATCTTAGTTAGAAGGGGACAAGAGAAATCTAATAGAAATATCATTTTTTTCTTTTTTGTCAAACAGAACCTCCAGTTAGAGAAAATCTACTCTGAATTGTAAAATAAAAAATACGATAAAACTAATTAATTATATAATTAGAAAAGCTTTTAATTGCTTTTATGAATAATATATATTGTGGACACTATTGTCTTAAGAAAAAAGTGTTTTCACTTTTTTTTTTTTTAAATTATAATAATTCATAAAGTTTTAAATTTTTTTAAATTCTGTATTAATTTGTACCACTTAGGTGATATTGTTAAGTATAAACTATAATCATAAATGGAAAAGCTTACTACAATTTAGCTATCCCCTGTATTTTTAAAAGAATTTAAAAATTTTTGTGTGTGTATAAACGTACTGATTTTTGTAAATACAGACGTCCAAACTGAAATTATCAGAAATTAAGAGACATAATTATAGTAAATTTAAAATTTATTTGTAATTTTCTCAACAAGCGTCTTCATAATTACCTAAAATTCAATAAAATAAGACATAGAGGTTCATCCCTTGTTTCCTGTTTAGGATTGGGTTTCTGGATCCTTCTAAAAGTTTACTTCAATTCTATACTTCTAATGTCTCTGCCTAAACTCTGAAATTTTATTTACTATTTATATTTTTCCTCAATAGGAATAGATAGGTTCACGCTCTTGTCAGGTCTTTTGAACAGGAGTAGAGTTTATTCCTTGATTTCTGTTTAGGATTGGATTTCTCTTTCCTTCTAAAGTTTTTTTCATTCTCTTTCATTTCCAGTAGTCCCTTGCATCTTAGTGGTTTTATCACCTTGCTTGGGGGTGAATTGATTAAAAAAATATTTTTTCTTAAATTTTTAAGAATAATTGGTATTTAAAAATATATATCTATAAAAAAGACATTCACGTTGTATTTGTCAAGTAATTTTTACAGTTATATACTCTTTACTTAAAAATGTCAAACATTAAGCTATCAATAAATCTATCAACACTATAAAAACACCCACCCCGGCTTAAAAAATATTTTTCCGCAATATTTTAAAAGTAAGTAATGTTTGTTTTAATTCAGATTGACTAAAGTTTAAATCAGTTAATCTTCCTTAAATAAAGTTAAAAACAAGTAGATTTTATTTTTAAAAAAATTTTTAATAAAGAGAATTATGTTGTGTTGGCAGATTTGGCAATATGGCCAATTTTAGCAATTTAAAAAAAAATTGCAATCAATTTAAATTTGGTTTGAAATAAACAAATTAGTTTTCTTATTTAAATTTAATCTGTTAGAATTAAAACTAAAATAAAAACTTCAAGAAAGATTTTTAATTTTTAAACTGCATTTTAAACCTTAGTTCTTGCTTTTTTTTTGGTGGGGGAGTTACCAAATTAAATTCAATCGACCAGGTTAATTTTATTTTTATTATATTTTTTTTCCCAATTTACAAGTAAGCTGTTGCACATCAGGATCAAATTTGTGGATAAATTAAATTTTTTTCTTTGAATTCTTTCAATCACCTTTTGGTCATTAACAAAAAATTTCTATTTTTGGTATCCTAGAGAAAAAAAAGTTTTGTTTTACTTCATCCTGGCATTTTTTGTGATGATTTGATGCTACATTTCAAATTTAGATATACTTGTTGAATTTAATACTACTTGTTCTATATATATATATATATATATATATATATATACTGATAGAGACATCCCATTTTTTATTTTAAACAGTGTGTATTACATCTATTGGCCTGTGTCTTGGAGAATTTGTGAAAACAATTTTTTTTTTATTAAAATTTTAAAAATACACAAAAGCCAATAGATGTAATGCACACTGTTTAAAATAAAATGGAACATCTATTTCAAATAGAAGTATCCACTAATAATAACATTTGACATGATAAAAAAATGTCAGATTAAGAATAAATCGAAATTGCTTTGTTTATGTTTCAGATACGAAACTCTGAGCTGCTATGTGATTTTGATAAAAAAAAATATCTTAGTGAAGAGGGAAGATAGAGCTTGGATATATATTGGCGCTCTTTATTGCTGAGCAATTAAACACATCAGATCAAATGGGGTTCCTCCTATGAAGTAGGACGCAAATTTGTTTTAGCACATTTTCTTATTAAGAGCACATTTTATTTATTATCTTACTTGTAGGCCTTGTCAACTAAAGCCTACAAGGAAGTCTTGTGGGTCAAAATAGCTATTTTCGAATGAGGTAACTTTGGATTTTTATTCTATGTCATTTTTACGCTCTGTTATAATAAATACATTTAGCTCTTTTTATGGATCAGTTTTAATATTTTATATTACTAGGATTATTTACCTATGTAAATATTTACCTCTGTGTGTGTGTGTGTGTGTGTGTGTGTGTGTATATATATATATATGTGTGTGCATATATATATGTATATGTGCGCATATATATATGTATATGTGTGCATATATGTATATGTGTGCATATATATATATATGTATATGTGTGCATATATGTATATGTGTGCATATATATATGTATATGTGTGCATATATATATATATGTGTGCATATATGTATATGTGTGCATATATATATGTGTGCATATATATATGTATATGTGTGCACATATATATATATATGTATATGTGTGCATATATGTATATGTGTGCATATGTGTGCATATATATATATATATATATATATATGTGTGTGTGTGTGTGTATATATATATATATATGTGTGTGTGTGTATATATATATATATATATATATGTGTGCATGTGTGTGTATATATATATATATATATATATATATATATATGTGCGTGTGTGTATATATACATATATATAGAGAGAGAATTAATACAAATATAAATTTTGTCATTTAGTTGATTGGTGTTACCTTCAGCATCCCAACTCCATAGTTTCATGACTCCGTCAGGAATCACTACCTCCACTCATCAGTGGTATAAAGGGGTTGCTAAAATGTCCTTGGCTTAACCAAGAAACCCCTTCCCAAAATATTCTGATATTTGATCATTTGATCAGATTTTGGGAATTGGATCATTTGAAGAACTTTTCAGCACCTCCTCATATATTTCTATAAGATCGAGAGAGACAAAGAGAGAATCATAAAATTATAAAAAAAAAGTAAACATAAAGGAAAAGAGTTTATGAGAGACAGAGTTAGGATCAGTTCTTTTAGACTGGCATTTTCTTTTTTTTCCTGTTTTTTATTGTTTCTGACTATAATCAAAATAATAAATAGAATGATTCTCGCCTGGATTCATAGCTCCTATATGAGAAATTCAGTTAGTGATTAGAAGTCATAAGTGAAAGGTTTTACAGGATTTTAAGGGAATCTATAAGGTTGTGAGATGGGGAGATCATTTGGGGTTCAGTTGAAAGAATTGTTATTTATTTTAAATTCAATTAAAACTGCAATTAAAATGTGTGTCCAGCCGTGACCCATGCAAAAGAGAGACACCGGTTTAATGTTCAAATAACGGAGAGAGAGAGATTTTATTTAGGAAAATAGAGAAAGATAAACTAAAACAATTCGAAGTGAAAGAAAAATAACACATTATTATATCGTACAAATAGAGAGAGTGAAAGAGACTCTTAATCTTTTGTTGAGAGAGAGACTGAAATATCAATATTGCCCTCGAGAGAGAGAAAAAAACGGAGTGATAAAGCCATGTAATACATCACTAGAGAGAGATAGAAAGAGTGTCAACAAACACGTGGAGAGGGGGTAAAGAGAAAGCAATAGAAAAAGAGAGGGGGAAGATATCAGAGTCTTTTGTTGAGAAGCAATAGAAAGATCTCATCAACCACTATTGTGGATGTTGGGGTGGGGGTTGAGGTGAGGTGAGGTGGGGGGGATTCTGGCCTCCCTGCCTGACTGACTGTCGACAACATATGGGTACCGGGAGTGCTTCTCCTCCTCCTTCACCCCTCTCTCTGTGTTTCCTCCTCTTCCTCCAGATGGTTATATATTCATTGCAACGGTCTTACTCTCTGTTAAAGTCGGGAGTTGGTGTCGCCTTCTAAATCCCAGAAAACCCCCCTGTGTTATTGGCAACGTATTTAATGATCCCTCCTCCCACAACAACAACAACAACAACAACTGCACTTTACGTTGAAACGTCTCTAGGATTTTGAACGGATACAACGAACCACTTGGAAAAGCCTGCCTTTTTTTATGGGGGTCTTTATTTAAGGTAAGAAATGTGCAGAGAAAAAAAAAACGATAAAAAATAATTAATACAGAGAAAGAGAGAGAGAAGAAAAAAACCCTAATTATTTGACGACGGGTATTGACTTGTGTACGACTTTCATTGTTTACATATACACAAGTATTTTTAAATGCATGTGTCTCTTGAAAAGTAAAACGATCATGGCTTAAGTTTTTAGAAATATGTGACGTGCGTATGTGTTCTTATTTTCTGTCTTTGAATTAAAATAAATTCAGTGCCATTATTTTCAATTTGATACTCAGTTCCTGTCGCCGTGTAGAATGACATGGTTGCACTTGTAGGCACCACAATGGTGGGCAAAAAAAAAATGCCTTCATCTTCTTTTGTATGTTGTTAGTTTTCTCTGTTTCCTTCATCATCCGGTGAAAGAAGAAGAAGAAGATGCAGCAGCCGCTGTTGTTGTTGTTAATGTTGCAGTTGATGTACCGTTGCCGCTGCTGCTCGTGTCAACGCTTTTGGGGCTGGAGGAGGGGGCAGATGGGGGGGGCAACCTCATTGGTACTGTTGTTGTTGTTTTTGGTCTCCCTCAACAATGGAACTAGAAAGAGAGATATTTGTTCTTTTTAGTAATAATCAGGGAAAGCCATGGTACCTCGCATCATGTCTTTTTTTTTTTTTTTTTTGTCCACCTTCTTAGCAGCTCGGTGCGAGGAAAGCGATATTTTGAATTGAAGCGACAATGCTGCCGTTTTAGAATTTGGCAGTCATGAGGAGGAAAATCCCTGGCGAAGAAAAACTGCAATTTCAGTCGGATTCAGAATCGGTGCCCAAAATTAGACTTTTGTTTTTTTCTTTTTTTCTTTCTTTTTTTTTTTTTTTAAATAGCTTGATACTTTGGGAGACGAACACAATGTTTATCGTAACGAAATATTTACGTATAATTTGTGTGCACATTTCCAAAAACGTATTGCCCATGAATTTTTGAGCATGCTATTTAAAAAAAAAACACAAAGAAAAAAATCGTTTATTATTAGATGTAAAAAGAAATTCCATAAATTTATAGTTTTTTTTGTTTTTTATATATATATATATATATATATATATATATATATATATATATATATACACTTTTTGTTTTGTAGGCACATACGGAATTTACCTGCGGAAAAATAAATGTTTTTTATGCTATGCACCCCCCTCCAATGAAAGAAAACAAAGATATTTTTGTAAATAAAATAGATCTAATTATTAGAAATTCTTTTAAAAGCAATAAGTATCGTCGTTGTTGTATCGGCCTTCATTATTGTATGCAGAAATGATTTTACGTGTCTGTGAATCAGTGGCGCTTCGTTTCTTGTACGTTTGCCAAGAGAAACCCATCATCATTTTTCGGTCACAGATAACAACACGCACGCGCGCACGCACGTGTCTTTGGCGTTTAGGGGGGGGCTTCTTTTTTTTGGTTTTTAGGATCAAACTCTTTTTCTACCATCATTTCACGCTGCAGCAACATTTGCAAATCTATAAAATATAAATACACAACAAGACTTTTTTTCTTTACCTGCTTCCAACAATAACGTGAGCCTGCTGTGTGATTTAAGAAGATAGTTGCATATTTTCAATCAGTGTTGAATGGTGCTTAAGCTCAGATCAAAAGAAAATACTGATTTTCAAGGCTCGTTAGATTTCTCCACATGAAACACTGTTGCTGCACTACAATCTTCCTACATGTGAATATGGTGTGTACTGTACTGTGTACTACTGATATGTTTGGACTGATTTTTAAAAAGAAAGGAAATATTTTTAAATATGTTTTCCTTTTGTATAAAAACAAAAAAACAAAAAAAAAACACGCAAAGTGATTTTTATTTTATAGTAGTTTGCATTTTAATATCTTTCTCTTTTATTTTTGAAGACATTTTGACTTGTTTATTCTCCGGCCTTCATTCGGCAAATAGTTTCAAGTAGTAATGTGAAATGAATTACTTTTTTTTTATTGTTTAAGTAAGTCTAACTAACGGACTAAATGAAAACTATACCTAGGAGAATGAACCAGCCAGAACACTGAGATTGTAGTTCGTAGAATTAATGATACTTCATCTCAGAACTTTAGAGACAGTTCAGTACAATAATGGTTGTGAATGCATCTGACAAAAAAGTAAAACCTCCTGATCAAAGCAACAAAGATAAAGATTAGTTCAAATAATTCTCGGGAGAATAACAATCCATCAATTTAGACAACAATTTTTGGACAACAATAAGGCAAAAAGTGAATTGACAGGCTGAAATGGAAATGTAATGACCAAAACAACAAAAATAAGGATATTTTTAGTCTGAATAAAATTCAGTTAATGACAGTTACTTAGAATTTCGAATGATGTTTATGTTGAGTTTTACTTTTAATTCTTAAAAAAGAAAGGAAAATGTTTATTGAACATTGAACACATGTGTGTTGTTCAATATTGTTTATTTTGGTTGTGTTTTTGTGTGTGTGTGTTGGGGGAGGGTGTAATACAAATCCTTCTTCGTACGTGTTGTAAACATTGAGTGTTGATGCATTTTTATTGAACGGATAAAAAAAAGAAAAATATTAGAATAATTCATTGAAAACATGTTGGATTTTTCTTTTCTTTTTATCAAACAAAATTTCCATCTGCGGGCGTTTTCAACATGTCTTCTTTTTCTTCATATTTATTTCTTTTTTTTTTTGTTCGTTGCCCCCCCCCCTCGTGTTTATTCTGGTTGCACAAAAAAAAAAAAAACAAAATGTTTTTTTCAATTTTCTTTTCAGGATTTTGATGGCGGCAAACAGACAATTTTCTTTTTCTTTCCATCTCCCCGGCATTAACCCAAACCCCTTTTACCGGTTAGGAAAGAGATCACTTTTTAGAGTGAATAACAAACTATGGTTTATCTCACATTTTGATCCTCTTTGGGGATTAATTGGCGAGGAAGTCATTTGCAGTTGAGTAGCCGAAGATTGGCACATCTTTCTCGAATGATTTGTTGAATTCTATAAAAAAATAGAAATTCTTTCTGCAACTCGGATTTGAAACTCTATTCTGTTAGAGTAGTTTGTCTGGTTCTGTTGATTAAAAAAAAAAAAAAACAAGTCTACACTTTGAATGTAACTGATGACAGGTCTGTTTAGGCCAGTTTATAAGTTAAATACCATGTTTTGAAAGTAGTCATTTCAGTTAGAGGAAAACGTGTTTGTGAACAGAATTGAAATTATCATGAGAGAGAACATTTGTACTCTGTGCTTTTGTATATATGTATGTATGTGCGTGCACGCGTGTAGTAACACATACACACACGCTACCTGATTTAGTCTTTCTATTGATTGTATATCTTTTTCTTTTTGTGTACTATATCAATGGATACATGCACACACACATATCTGTTTCCGTCTGTATGATGTGATAAATGCAAATATTTCTTAAGTTCTGTACAGTCTGGCACAAGACCACGTTTCCATGGAACAAGTGATTAAACTTAGAGCAATTATCAGCTTGTGAGACTTGTTCATTAAATATCAAACTCTGGTCACTTCTCAAATTGTATGTTAAACACATTGATCATTCATTCATAGCAAAATTGTTATTTTTTTAATTTTATTTATGTAGTTATTTAATTTTCAGTAGTAACATTTGTTAATTTTATTTTATCTGCAATGTATCCAATGAAGTCGTTTATAATGCATTGTGCATAGCCTTGTGTTGTTACAATGAAAATTGAAAAAGAAGGAATAGACTTTGGTAGCATGTTTCTAATTTAAAAACTGCTTCTGCCAAAATCAATTTTCAATTTTGCTGGAGAAAATAATTATTTTATTTTTTTTTTTTTTTTAAATTAAATCAAAATAATTAGGTGTGTGTTACAAACCTTTTCAACTTCGTCCCAATGTGGATTTGGTTTCTAATGTCAGTGTAAATGTGTTTCTTTCCAAAAATAACTGAGAAAGTTTGTAATTTCGTTTGGGGAAATATGAAATTAATCGGGCACTCTTTGCAGAATAGGAATGGAATAGTAAGATTGTATAGCATCAATCATCCAATTGAGGAGGGTCTGCCTGCCTTGAAGGTCATATTTCAAAATCCTGCATTTTATTTGCATTCAAACTCTAATCATTAGTACCAATAGGATACATACAACCATACAGGAAGCAGGTTTCAATGTACTTATTATCTTATTTACACAATATATAGACAATAAATTGGATTTATTTTTACACACCCTTATTCTTAATGGTGTTTATGCACACACACATATGTGTGTGTGTATATGTATTTGTGTATGTGTACAGATATATGTGTGTGTGTATATGTATTTGTGTATGTGTACAGATATATATGTGTGTGTGTGTATATATTTCTGTATGTGTATAGATATTTGTGTGTGTATATATTTCTGTATGTGTATAGATATTTGTGTGTGTATATATTTCTGTATGTGTATAGATATTTGTGTGTGTGTATATATATATATATATGTGTATAGATATTTGTGTGTGTATATATTTCTGTATGTGAATAGATATTTGTGTGTATATGTGTCTGTGTATAATATATATATATATATATATAAGAAAATCAATAACAAAGTAGAAAAAATCTTTTGTGCAATACATT